CAAGGATCCTGAAGGATATTGCAGTCAACACCTAGAAAGTATTTCTTCCTTTCTGGCCCAGACTGTATTCTTCATGTACACGTGCCTTAGAATTAAAAATGAAAGCAGACCCCAAACCCACAAGCCCCCAAACCCCCTAGTCCTCAAATGTGATTATAAAGAATGTGAACGAAATAAAACAGGCCCAGGATTTAAGAGAATTTGGACTTTATTAGACATCAAATATAAAAATAAAACCCTCTAAAAAGGGACCCAAAGAGTTCCCCTTTTCCCTTTAGGCTTTTCCACTCCTAACCCCATTAAAAACACTCCATAGATGCAACGATTAGTAACATCAAGGACTAAAAAGATGCAAAAGCCTCTACAAAGGACAGAAGTCAGCTTAACGAGGTTGATGACTGGGTCAGGTGACCCCTTCTAGAGGAGCCCATTGTTGGCTCAGTCAGCGCCAGGTCTAGACCCAGCAGCCCCCCAAGATCGATGTAGGGGCTCCCTTGAGCGCGTGACTGGCTGGCGCAGCTGCTGGGAAGCCCACGGCTTACTCCCTCAGGGCTTACTCCCTCAGGGCTTACTCCCTCAGGGCTTACTCCCTCAGGGCTTACTCCCTCAGGGCTTACTCCCTCAGGGCTTACTCCCTCAGGGCATCCTCCAGGAGTTTCTCCACCTGGCTCTGCTTCTGCTCCTCCAGCGTCTGGCAGAACCTGCGCATCGCTACAGGTCCAAACGGGGACAAAGAAACAGTGAGAGTGTGTAGGTGGGCCCCACACAAAACCGGCAGGGGACAGGCCCCCCCATTTACACAGAGCCCCCCATTTACACACGCTGAGCGGCAGCCCTCCCTTCTTTGGGACAGATTTCCAAGTTTACCTGCCACCTCTCTGATGCTTCTCCTAGAGCTTCAAAGTCATAGCATCTGCCTGCCAGACTCCTTCGTGTCTCACATCAAATCCCGCCCCCTAGCAATGGCCCAGGCGTCATCAAGCTGTCTGTGTTCCTCTAGTGCCTCCTCAGTCTACCTCTAGCATCCCTTTGACCACATTAAATCAAAAGATATTGGTGTAACCATGTCTTTTGCAGCAACTTGGATGGAGCTGGAAAAGATCATG